TGTTTTATTTCCAGTTCGCTGACATGGCAAAACATTTTGCGAGATCTCGCAAAAGTTTATTTTTTCCTCCATGTCCCTTTAGGGGCTCCGTATCATTTTGTATACACAGAGTGTACACAAAACTTAGTTTAAAAAGCTTTCAGACAGTGAATGAGCAGCAGCTTAGCAGTGAAAAGGAACATTTCCATTTCATAAAGTGCAGCAGTAAAAAAAAAAATGTAAACAGCGTGGGAGAAAAACATGGTGCAAAAGGCATTGATGTGGAAGTTTAAAGCAGTGCAAAAACAAGCAAATATATATGGTGCAAAAATACAAACATTTTGTGACTTTATTCCCATGATATTATGACTATTTTAATAATTTAATAAAAAAATATATATCTTTATTATGGCTGTAGTAATACCCAATAGATTAACTAGTAAAAGGACCAGTACGGCAAGTAAACATTACTCTACTCAAATGAATTGAAGCAATTTAGGAAGGTACATTCAAACATATTGATGCAGTGCAACTATGATAGATTGTGAATTATTGGTTTATTAGAATAAAATTTGTTCCAACTGATTAACTGAAAAGGCTAGAGGACACTGCTCTTCATTGACCGGTATTTTCAAGAGAAGTAATGGCAGAACAGAAACATGGATCAATCCAGGTTCCAATCTGGGATTATTTACTGTTTAATGGATCTAGAATGAACTTTAAGTGATTCTGTTTGTAAAAATAAAAACTGGATAAACTCCATAACTTACCACCTAAATAGTGCCTGTTTAGCCATGCTGCATAGCGGGGCAGCAAGGTTGTAGAAAGCGAGGATGCATCATGCGATAAAAAAAAAAAAAAAACGAAGGACATCGTGCAAAGCGTTTGTAACATGATAGAAAAAGACACGCTAGCAATTAGCACAGTAGATGGGGAAGCATTTAACGGAGTCACATATCAGCTTTCCTCTTTAAGTCTCTTCTAGCATTGAATGCTGGATTACAATAAAAACTGAGATTGAAGCAAAGTGGCAAATAGTCAGACAGTATGTCAGAGCGACATACCCTCTCCTTTAATGATAGTTTAACATCTCTGTTCATTGGAAATATTATATTTAATGAATAAGTTCAATAATGTGTAAAAAAAACATTTCATTTTGTTTATTCAGTCAATATTTAATACAGCTGGCACAAAAATTGTTGAAATATAATGTACCAACAGCATATTTAAAACAAATATTTTGCACTTTATGTTATGGAAAGATACTGAGAAAATGGCTGCTTATTAATGAGTAGTTTGTTGATTGATAAGATAAAACAACTTTTGATTGATTCATTAATCGATAACTTGCATCCCTAAGTGCAACAATAATTGAAAGTTTCCCCATTATGAGAGAAATGCCTTTATCCATCCTAAATTCTCTGATCGGATTATCTCTGTCTATGTAGAAGTGCATTTGTTTGGTTATTCCAAAAAAAAGAAAATGAAAAACAATCCACTGGACTTTGTTTCCAGGTTTGAAGACATTTCGCTTACCATCCAGGAAGCTTTTTCTATTCAAAATAACAGGAATAGCGTTTAGTTCGAGGTTTTATACAGCAGACCGATAAAACCTTGTTTTTGTTTTGAAAAAAATGCAAATTGAAACAGACGAAGGGGTCCACTCCTTTGGACTGGGGGTCGTTTGGCTTCTTTTGATAGCCTGCAATGCCCCATACCTGTCTAAGAGTCTGAAAGGGGGAACAATAAAGGGGATTTTTGGCCTTGCTGAATGGGTGGGTGATGGGTTGTTGTTTTTGGGAGGTTTGTTCAACCAATCACAGCTCTAACAGACCCTGTTAGCTTAGCTGACCCCTAACAACAGGGTCAACCAGGCTTAATCCAAACATTTCTATCTCTTCCTCCCTCAGAGTGGCTCTCAGCAACTAGCTGAATTGCTGAGCATTAAAACTCTTTGACAAAGAAAGACTAACTAGGAGCTTTCTGAGAGACTCTGAGGATCTTAGTGAAAATGGACACATTTCATGCAGGTTAAAGTCTCACCTGAACATTCGGTCATCAAGAAGCAGCTCAGCAGGAAGCCTGGAGTCCAGAGCAGGGACAACATGTCTGTCTCATCAGCGCCTGTCTGCAGGTAAAATGAAGGTCCAGCTGATCGATCGACTTTTAACCACAGTTCAAACATTTACTCACCAGAAAACGGAACAAATAGGGATAAAAGTCCAACCTGAATACTGACAAGGCACTCGTTTTTCATCGTTCACCTTTAAAGATGGGAGGTCAGAGGTCACCTTCTGAGGGATCACACCTGTAGCTCAGGTGAGTAATCATCATTAAGTGGGAGCAGCAGCGTATAGGTTGTTTATTATTGTAAAAACACCCATTGTCCTGCGAAACAAGCTGCAGGGATTACTGAGCCCATTGGGATTTCAACAGGAGGGAGTTTCATCTCTAATGTCATCAACAAAAACCCTGCTGTTTACATGAGACCTGGAGTTTTCAATTTATCTGAATGAAACAGTTCAGGACAAGAGAAAAAAACCCACAAATTAAAATTTCACTGTTAATTACTTCTAGAAGCCACATTTCATTGAACTACATTTTTTATCTGACCGAAGGTTAATCAGAAAACATCCGCTTGTTACCGGTTCTGTGCTTTGAACTCAGCTTCATTCCATTCTTTCAGGTTACCTGCATTTACTGCAGCTTTTTTTCTAGCTGAGATCTGGCTCCAGAAGGTGCTCACAAATCTCCACGAGAATATTTGATCTTTATAAGATCTCTAAGACACCGAGGAGCATTATCACAAATCCTTCCTCCCAGCAGCTGTAAGAATCTGTAACCATCATTGTTCCAAAAACCTGATCACTCGGGACAAACTCTTTAAATAACACTTCAAAGCTTATATGTATTATACAACCAGGAGACATGACAACAGATTCTGATAGGAATTGTAATCTTACTCTGATCAGAGAAGTTGCTTAGAGTTACAGAAGGCAGCTGCTCACCTCTGGGCTCACCTCTCAGGAAGTGTCCCAGATTAACAGTTAAAAAGCCATTTTATGCATCTCCATTCTGCCACATAATCATATTTTACATCATACCTGTTAGCAGGTGAGTAGACATCATGGCTTCAGCCTTATTAAAACATAAAAATTTGTTCTTAGCTGAATGACACCGGGTACAGAATGGAGATTATAACTGTATATCAGGACAGAGGAACCATCTTAACTAGATAAACTCACACATCATTAGTGATAATTATCCTAACAGGTTTCTACCTTAATCAGTTAAATAACATGCTGCTGTCATGTTGCACATCTCTGATGTTGCTATTTTTCAAGTATCGATTACTGTAAAAATGTCCATTGCTGCATATTGGTTATTTAGTCTCCAGGTGCAAAGTTTTTATATTGTTAAAACATTTTACAGTACAGTATTTCATTTGTTTATTTTTTAACTCCTCACTATTTTTCTTATACTCTTATTTTTAAAGGTCCACATTTGTTGGTGAAGATTCTCAGTCATCCAGGTCATAGTCATTCCAAAAAAGTAAAAAATAAATAAATAAATAAAAATCCACTGGACTTTGTGTCCAATTTTGAAGACATTTCATTTCCCATCCAGGAAGCTTTTTCAAATCAAAATGTCAGAAATAGCGTTGAGTTCCAGGCTTTATAGAGTGGATCAAAAACAAAGCCTTTTTAGGCTTAGAAAACATATAAATTGAACCGGACGAATAGGTCCGCCCCTTAGAATGGGCAGCCTGCAATACCTGAAACTGGACTATGTCTCAAAAAGGGGTACATTTCAGGGGCATTTTTCCTGGCTGAACAAACCAACCTTAAACAGAGGGGGTGGACTCAGGTTTGAGATGTCAAAAACCTACAATGCAGCAATAGGTTTGATTCCTTCCCACTAGTCAGGCCACGTTTCCCTCTAATGACCCCCCTTTCAGAGCCATAGACCAGTATCGGTCTATGGCTCAGTAAGAGACAACAGTAAGCTTCAGTAGGAAGCCAAACGACTGTCCATTCCTAAGGGGCAGACCTGTTCGTCCAGTTCAATTTGCATGCTTTCTAAGCCAAAACAAGGTTTTGTTTTTGCTCCACTCTATAAAGCCTGGAACTCAACACTATTCCTGATATTTTGAAACGAAAAAGCTTCCTAGATGGGAGGCGAAACGTCTTTAAATTTGGAAACTAAGTCGAGTGGAGCGTTTTGTCCGTTTTTTGGAAGGTCCACATTTGTGGGACCGTTTGTTTTGTATAATCTTTTTGCTGCTGTAACACCAAAATTTCCCCATTGTGGAACAATAAATGGATTTCTATTCTATTCTATTCTTTTTTTTTTTTTGGGTGCTTAAACATCATTTACTAGAATAATTTACCCACATCATCCTTCATAACCAGGTTAGGTGTTGTGTTGTACTAATTGAGGAACTCCTTATAAAGTATATGCATTTTTCTTTTGGCAAATAAGACCTTCAAGCTTAAGAGAAAAAATAAGATAAAATGTTTGAACCATCCTTTCATTAATTTATCTACTGTAAAAACATTCAGTACAGCATCAGTCAGCTTTTTACATCATTTCCAAATTAAGGAAGAAGCATCACTTCTCTTAACAGAAGAACCAATGGAATCTCTCAGGAGCAAATCTAAAATGTCAGTGAAATATGAACTGGAATTTTATCAGACATTTACATCCTGATGAGAATCTTTCAGGTGTCTTAGAAGAGGGTGAATTAAATTTCACTCAGGTTTAATTTCTAACTCCTGTTTAAACCTAGTCTGAACCAGATCAGAAACTGGTTTGTTTCATTTATCGTGGTTCAGCTCGATGCGGTGTTTCCTTTAGCAAACAGATGTGGTTTTCAGTAAAGAGTTTAGTTTTTAGTGTTGATCCAGGATCCCAGTCAAACAGACTGGTTGGTTCAGTCGTGTTTGATTGGACCAGTAAAAACTTTTAGGTCCATTCACTTCCAGTGCAACTGAATGGCTGTTTGCAATTTAAAACCTTAAGTTTTTCACAGAGAAGCCAAAAGAAAATGTTTCAGGGGAAACACAAAGTTTATTTTCCACAGGTTTCAGTTGTTCTCTGTATTTACAATGACAGCCCTGCAGGGGGCGCCCCTGCGACCAGAACAGGGTCAGCATTCAGTCATAAATTACTCAATAAATAGATGCATCATCAGACTAGTACAGAAACATGTCCAACATGCCCTTGAGCAAGGCACTGAGGAGGATCTGGATGTTTCAGGGTCTGGATCCAGAGGTAAAAAAATAAAAACATAAAATTAGGATCCAGAACTTTACAAGTTAGGACTCTGAAATATCTCAGTTATGGCATTTCCCTAAGATGTGTCCAAACTAAGACATTTCAGTGCGTAAACGCAGAATCAGAAAAACGGGGAACTAAACACAAACATCTGGATCAATAACTTGAAAAAACCTAAACAACAAAACTTGAAAACATCTGGGTCCAGACCAGGAAATTCAGGACTAAGAAACATCTGTAGCAGGATAACTCTGGGTCGATTTTATGAATTGTTTGACTTTCAGGAACCAGATAACAAATGTCGAGACCAAAGATGTTAAACGTTGAATATCAGCATTCAGGATCTGAAACATCTGGAAGCCTGTGTATCATCTGGGCTTGGGTCCATGTGTTAAAAAAAAAACTTCTGGAATCTGAAACATCTGGAGGCAGATTCTAGCCTCTGAAATACTTTGAATAGGACTCAAACATCAGGGAAGAGGTGCAAACATCTGGATCAATAATGTGGAGGTTTTGGCCCAGGTTCTAAAACATCCAAATCAAAGATTTGAAGCTAACAGAACCAGAACAGGATCAGAGTATGGAACTAGAATTTTGGAAGAGAGGAGAATGGACTCAGAAACGTTTAAATCCACACTTTAAGCTCTAGAAATGACACAAAACACAATGATTAAGAATCTAAAACATCTGCAGCAGGACTCTTAAAACATCTGGATCCCGGCTCAGAAGAATCTGGATCTATACCTGCATGTATCAGGGTCAGGTCCCAGAACCTGAAGGCTCAGGTGTGTCTAGGTCGACTATAAAACAGCTGGATGAAGCTTCGGAAACATCAAGAACTAGACTTGAACACCTGGATAAAGAATCTGAAATATATGTGAAGCAGGATAGTAGACCTTGAGTCCAGAGTTTGGAGACATTTGGGACCTTAAGTAGCTAGAAAAAGTTTGAAAAAATGTCTGGGTCAAATATTTTAAATGCCGGGCTCCGGGTTAGAACATTTGGAGCCATAATACAAACATTTGGAAACATCTGAATCTAAAAATCCGATCCCAAACACTGTAGAACACAAACGATCTATAGAAAACAGAAGCTAAAGGCTGACAGCAGACAACATGGCGACACTCAGGAGGCGATCGGGAGCCGCTGACCCGATCATGACCCCTCTCTGGGTGTTTAAGGCATCAACTGACTGATGAGAAACGTTCAGTCTGTGGTTGATCTTCATCTGCTGGTGCGTTAGAGGACTGTGGGACGTCAGAGTCTCCATCTGACAGCTGATCCGTTAAATCTGGAACATCAACCAGGGTTTGATCAGAGCTAGAAGCAGAACCCTGGAGCTGCAGCAGAACATGAACCCAGACGGTGGTTCTGGTTCCTGATATTAGGCCAAGTCCAGGTACTTGAATCTGATGGATTGCTTCAGTATTCAAATTTTCTTTCTATCTTTTAACTTTGGACCCAAAAACGTGAATAGGACTAAAAGTGTTCTGACAATTTATAATCAGAACCACCATGCAAAAGTTAATAAGAGGAGCTCATTTGGGCTTAGACGACCCAGAAACAACTAACTGTCGGGTTGGATCACCCGGACGGGATCAGAGGGTTGTCAGGTCGGGTCTCATTCTGTCTCTCTTGGGAGTCTTTTGTTCTGATTAAGGGGTTTGGGGCCTTTAAAGGTTTGGTTTTTCGTCTCCGAGCTGTTGTTTAAAGGGTTCTGCTGGATCCTGGTCCAAAAGATGAAACGGGAGGAGGTTCTAAAGAATCAGCTGGGTTACGATGTTCCGTAGAGGGTAAACCAGAGCGGGATCCGAGTGATAATTGAGCATCACCGTGGTTCGGTTCCGGCTCACTCCAGTCCAGAATTTGGCTCATAGAGCTGCAGCTGGCCTGGCCCAGCTAGAACCCGGTCAGGGTTCTGGTTCAGTCTGTGAAAAATCTCCACCATCTAAAAGTCGTTAATAAGAAAATATAAACAGAATTCAGACCCAGTCTGTGGTTCTGTTTGGTCTCCAAACACACTTTTAGGAATTTGATTTACTTCATATAGGAAACCTGTGAGCAGCTCGTTCAGAAATCCATCAGAACCTGAACGCAACACAAGGAGTTTATGTTCTTCAGAATTACTTAAGGATTCAACCAAGGAATTACAGCCCAGCAAAGCGGGTCAGAACCGGATCAGTTGACAGTCTTTAGCACTCAGAAGAAAAACCAGCTTCTGACTGTTCAGAAACAGATTCTTAGGAAATGGTCAGAGATGGAACAGATTGATCTGATTAGAATAGATTAGATGGTTCTGATCTGGAGATTTTTCACTGAGAACCGGGCCGGCTGCAGGCTCTGAGTTTAGCCGGTGGGTTCTGGTTGGAATGTAAAGGCACTAGTGGATCATTTGATTGGTCCTTTTCTTTAGGGGAGAACCGGCTGGTTCCTGTGAAATGCTGGTTTCCATTTTGCTGAGCACCGGTTCTAGACCTGGGGTTTTGGACCTGGTTTCTGGGCGGTGGAGAAAGGCAGCAGAGGTAGAAGGACAGCAGGCAGCAGTTCCTACGCAAGACGATAAAAACAATACGCTTAGAGTAGGACCAGACCCTGCCTGGGTATAACCGGATCATTAGAACCAACCTGGAGGTAGTTAGGCCTCGCTGGCGCTGCTGTTCCTCGTAAGCTCCTTGATGCCCTGTAGGATCCTCTTCATGTGGCCGACCTTCGTCACTCCAAGGTCCTAAAGAGGATGAGGACAGTCAGTGAGGCAGAAGCTATGTTCTGTCTGCAGATCATCCCATGTCTGACAACAAGACATCCGCCCGACATCCAGACATCAGTCCGACATCAAGACATCAGTCTGATATCAAGACATCCGCCCGACATCCAGACATCAGTCCGACATCAAGACATCAGTCTGATATCAAGACATCCGCCCGACATCCAGACATCAGTCCGACATCAAGACATCAGTCTGATATCAAGACATCCGCCCGACATCCAGACATCAGTCCGACATCAAAGCATCCGTCTGATATCAAAGCATGCTTCCTGTCGACATCAAGACATTTGTCCGACATCCGGACACCCGTCCGGCATTCCAGATATCAGTCCGACATCAAGACATCCGTCTGATATCAAAGCATGCATCCGATATCCAGACATTTGGCCGACATCCGGACATGTGTCCGGCATTCCAGACATCCATCCGGCATTCCAGACATCCGTCCGACATCCAGACATCCGTCCGACATCCGGACATCCGTCCAGCATCCAGACACCCATCCGGAATTCCAGATATCAGTCCGACATCAAGACATCCGTCTGATATCAAAGCATGCATCCGATATCCAGACATTTGGCCGACATCCGGACATGTGTCCGGCATTCCAGACATCCGTCCGGCATTCCAGACATCCGTCCGACATCCAGACATCCGTCCTACATCCATCCAACATCACCCAAACACCTCGTTGTCCCTACCTTCAGGTCCCTCCTCTCCAGGTGGATCAGCTCAGCTCCACGGACATCATGACCAGTAAAAATGTCCTTATACTCAGAAAGACAGAGGAAGTCCAACCAAGCCCCCACTTCCTCGGTCCCCCACTGGTGAACTGAGACACCCACAGGAAGTGGTTCAGACAGAAAGAGAAGCCCCAAACAGTGAGAGAGAAGGAGAGACACCTTTAAGCTGTGATTCTGTGATACCAAAAATTTGTGGAGGCAGCTCTAAAACAGAATGAAAGCAGCTGAAAAGGTCAAGAGCTCACCTGGCAGGGACAGGGTGGCGCACATCTCTTTGTTCTTGTTGTTTTTGTCCTTCTTGAACTTTGAGACGAGACGAAATTTTCCACTTTGACTCCGTTTGGAGAAATCCACCAGAAGACCCTGAACAGAGAAAGAACCAAAGTCTGACTCAGCCTAATGGAAACAGAACCCCTTCTGCTCTATTGTTATGTCCTTTCTAAAGACGGAATCAAGGCCCCAGAGGAGGGAGGACGTCCTACCTCCGGGTCCGACGGGTCGATGACGGGACACAACCAGGGGACATCAGATAGGCGACGGAGCTCCTGAGCCACAGAACCCAGAGCTGCATTTAGCTGGTCCTGCTGAGGAGGGTCCAACTGCTGCACACACACAGACAGAACCACTGTCATCTCTTAGAGTAGAGGGGAACCAGACTCCTACAGCCAAACACCAGAACAGCACCAAAATAATTACCATGGACATCTTTCCAGCCAGGAGCAATTCGGTCTCGCTGAGCAAAGCCTTGACGTCGCTGACCATATTGACCACAGAGCTGCAGCTGAGAGCCTGAAAACCAACATAAGCTTCTGATTAATCAGTCAGAACGTCACCAGATCCGTTCTACTCTTGTGTGACAGGATGAGTGCTCCAAACGAGGCAGCAGGAAACCATAGAGGGACATACCTCGGAGCTCTTAGCGTAGACCACATCCATGGCTTTGGAGCTGGCGTTAACAGCGTGAGCCAGTTCCTGTTCCATGCTGTGGTGGAACTGGGCCACCTCCCGGATACTGGGAACCAGAGACAGCATGAGAGTCCGTACAGAAGCAGGAGGTAATGGATCACGAGCAGATGAAGTATGTACCTGTGGATGAGGGCTCCAGCTGCCCGGCCAAACTCGCTGACCAGCAAGGCCTCCTCCTCAGAGACGTTCTCTGGCTGGGGGGGCAGGGAGGGCTGGGGCTGAGGGAACTCACATTTCTGTTTGTCCTCCCAGGACTTCAGGGTGTTCTCAAAGGCCTGTAAGTGATAGACTGTTAACCACTGCTGAGCCTGGACCAGAACAGAAGCCTGCAGAGGGACTGACCCGGTCTCTGGTCAACGTCTGGGTCCGGTTCTTGTGTATGATCTTAATGTATCCGGGAGGTTGAATCCAGGCCTCCCCGTCCACCTGAACCGGGACACCTTCGTCCCCAAGGATGGTGATCTTCACTGTTCGACACTGAGGAAGGAAGAAACAGTGAGAGACAAGGGACAGGAAGATGGAGGGACATGAAGACAAGGCGACAGACCAAGAGGGCAAAACAATGCATGGATAAGAACCAGGGCAAAGGCAGAGAGGTGGGAAGACCAAGTAGGACAGGTAGACAGATATTTTGGGTAGCAGATAGAAAGTGGAACAGACAGGGAGACGGGTACCTGGGCAATGCGGTGGTGCTGCAGGTTGATGACTCTTGATACGGCCATCTGCATGCTGCCGAACACGGCAACCACCTCCAGGATCTTATCGTCGAATGATGGCGCAGTGAAGGTCTGAGAGACAGACACAGTGAAATCACAGCTCAGAGGAGTTTCACTACACTTTTCAGCCTCTCTAAGAAGGTCCATGCTAGTGTGCTAGAGAAGAGAATGTAGCTGATCGTAAAACATATGCGCCAGGAAGAGCAGTGCTGTGTCACTCCACCATCTACCCACTTGCGGGCCCATGAGAGTTTGCCAAACCGGTTCCCGAGTGATTTGTGGCCCGAGGGTCCATCTGTATACCTCATATTCTAGCTCCTACCTCCTGTTCCTCGCTTCTATTATTTCCCCTTTCGCAGGGCCAACAGTTAGAACATTATCCAGGGTAGGAAAGGAGCTCCAGACTGCCGTGTTCAATCCAGACTTCGTCCTTACAGACGTCATTATTTAACAGACAAACAAATGAATGGTTACACTGGAATTAATGTCAAGAAGTAATGTATTGTTGTCAAACTCTGTGTGGTGGGCTGTGTCTCTAGGTCATATCATGCAAAGGATTGTGGGTAATCGTATGGATCTTAGCGGGCAACAGGAACTCCAGGAGGTCTCACCTCTGCTTTGGCCAAAGAGTCTTTACCAATTTGCACTATTCGGAAAGAGCCCTGGAGAAGGAATTTAGATGTGTTCCTCATGCTGCATCAGACACTGCTGACCTATAGTATACCAGTATAAGTAGTCGAGATAGAAGTTCGGGTTTAATTTAATTGCTCAGTTGCCCTGCAGTGACATGTTAAAGACCGTCCAATCATTTTAGGTGATATCTGAAACCTGCAGGAATGTGGACCCTGAGGATGGGAGCTCCTGCTGTACAGGTTCTGATAAAAGACGCCGTTTGACCTGCAGAAGCAGGAGAACCCAGTGAATCATCATAGACGTCAGCAACGTGAATCTACAACATGGCCTGATTCAGCAGCGTTTCTGCGAGTGGCCAGAAAATTCCAAATCCGGTGACCTCATCTAGTCCAGAAAAACAGCCATTCACCTTACTGACCAATCAGAGCAGAAAGGGACAGAGATACACAGGGATGACTTCTTACATCGTCCTCCTTGGTTCCGCCCCAGAAGTTGGTTCCTCCTGCGTAACTTGGGATGTTGAGCACAGCGATTCCCTGCAGACTGGGGAGGGGGATGGACCGCCCGTCACACTGCAGCAAACACAGAGAACACACTGAGTGACACGCGCAGCTTGTCACAGCCTCTGTGTTTTACCGTGGTTCTGCTCCTTACTTCCAGCAGGACTCTCTGTTCCAGGTTCTTGTAGGTTCTGTGTAGCAGCTCTTTGGTTCCCAACACACCGTACCACATCAGGTTCTTGGTGCGGCTCCTGAGCAGACAGAATCAGGCATATGGAGGTTTCTGACTCAGCTCTGCAGGTCAGGATGTAACGGAGATAAAGAAGCTAAAAATGATTTGTTTTAACAAATTCAGGAAATTCTGACCCATAGCATTACAGAACCAACACCGTGTCAAAAAAGCTGGACACTATTCTTGACTTAAAATATTTATAAAAACCAGATGCTGGTTATTAATCCAACTATAACTACATATTTTTTTTTATTACCAACAGACAGCACAGAGAACTTCCTGTTGACATGTTTAGATACTTTTTGTAGCCAACAACTGTTTGGGATCATATTGGAGCTGAGAGCCTTAAACCCGTCAGTGCTGGAGGCAAAGATCCACAGGAACCAAACTGGGTTCTGTAGTTTTCTCTTCAATGTCAATGCGATGGTGTTTCAAACCTTTGAGTTTAAGAACTTTTTCCTGCCTGAATTAGTGAAAATCAGAGTCAAGATGCCTAGAAAGAGAATTTACATTCCAGAAACCAAGATGAAGATCAAATCTGACAGCAAGGTATGCAGCAGGGGAGGGAAAATAAGGAGAAATGAAGGCTGGATCTGGGCCTTAAAAAGCTTAAATCCAAAAGCTTTCAATGAACTTCCACTATTTAGGTAATGAAATCTGACTTATTTCTAAATTCAACAACTAAAGAGCAGGTTATACTCCCCGCAGCAGGGTGTCGCAGTGAGCTTGTAGCAGATGTTTTTGATTTATGCCCAATACTGAAGCGTGGTCTGCGCTATGTTATTCCACGCCACAAGAGGGACTAGCTGTGGGTCTAGATACGGCCGAGGCGGTGAGGAAGTGGGGGCAAGTTTGTGCGACAATGGAGGAACATGAGGGTGAAAAAGAGCGGAGATCCAGGTGGAAAAGGGGTCCCAGAGTTCTTGCGCACCTCGCTCTTCTAGCTGGTCCAACTTCATGAGTCGTTTTCCACAATGGTGGTCATACAAACAAAACAAGCCGGTAAAAAAACCAAACAGGAAATACGCATAGTGTAGAGCAGATGTAGATTTGACCAATCAGAGGCCTCCTGTCTGCAGCACTGTTTGCAGTCACCTACAACTTTGGAGAGGTGCGCCAGACTGTCTGCGGAGGGGGCGGGGGCACATTTGCGTTAACTGCGACACACACAGTCAACCAGGTTTCTAAGTAAAAATCAGCCTTAAGTCCAACTAACAGTTATGTTTTAGCACAAATCTGAAACGATGTGGTTTTTCCAAAACTTATTTGGACAAAAGTTTAGTTTTTCTATGTTGTACCTGCATTTTTCTGGGTGCTCGTCTCTTTTGTTGTTAAAGTCCAGAGTGATCTTAGCATCCAGCCCGATGCCAAAGTAGTTGTTCATGACGCACTTCTCAGTGTAGCAGTCCCTGAAACACAAACACTGATGTGTTACACGTGTGTTCAGCGTTAAAGGTAAGCGTGCGTACAGTCGGCGGATTTACATGTTGTCGGCGTCGCAGCTGAACGGGTCGGCGTTGACCAGCAGCCGACTGATGACCGAGCTACTCGTCAGAGAGCCTGAAACACAAACAGCTCTGAAAGCTCACAGGAAGTCCAACCGGTGAAACACAGATGGAGAGGGCATCTTACCTGGATACAAGATCTTTGTATTCAGCATTGGCATGTTGTCTCTGCATCCTGTATGGGCAGGAAGTGAAGCGGAGCTCCCCAGTGGCAGGATGGCTTTTTGGATCAGTTTTTCACACGGCGTCTTGCTGACTGTGAATGGAGAGAGGAACAGGTGAGCAGCCGTGTCCAGGCCGAGCCTCACCTGTCCAGAGGACCCGCCCCTCACCTCTGCGGCTGCTACGCAGCTTGGCACTAAAGGACGACTGCAGGGACGTCTTATCCTCGTCACACTCTTCCTCATCCTCTTCTTCCACCAGACCCACCTGCTGCTCAGCCGGACCCACGGAGAACATGTGCGGCGGCTGCTGGGTCTGAGCGTTCTGCTCGTCCACAGCTGTAACATAAAAACACACTCAGTAACCCGAACTAGCAGGATGAACTGTCCTCCCCCAGCAGGTGACCCACCTTTCTCCGTGTGCTCGATAATTTGTCGGATCGCCTTCTTCAGGCTGTTGGCTCTCAACATCAGCTGCTCCCGAGGTTTAAAAATGGCGGCCGCTGTGGATGGAGGGGGCGTTGTACGCGGCGAACAGGTGGGGTGCGAAGGAGGGGCGGGATGAAGAGGAGGAGGCAGACCGGCCACTTCCAGCTCCTCCTGTTCCTCAGCGATGGTAGGCGGAGGAGCGGGGGGGAGCAGCGATGAGGCCTGAGACTCCTCGTTCAGAGTCTTCAGCAGTGAGTCGAGTTTCTCCTTCAGAACGCCGCACTGCAGCACGAAATAAGACATCATGATAGAAACCTCTACAAAGATAACCAGCACCCATGGCTCATCTGATTTCTAAGACGGAGTATTAGGGCCAGGCTAGAGATTTTTAAAAGGTTTTTTGAGAACAAAGTAGTAAAATTATGAGAATAAAGTAAAGAAATTACAAGGATAAAGTTGCAATGAGAATAGTTAAAAAATTTCAAGAATAAAGTTGTAATATTATGAGAATAAAGTAATAAAATTACAAGATAAAGTTGTAAAATTATGAGAATTAAGTCATAAAATTACGAGAATAAAGTTGTAACATTATGAGAATAATGTAATAAAATTACGAGAATAAAGTAATAAAATTACGAGAATAAAGCAGTAATATTAAGAGAATAAAGTCCTGCAATTATGAGAAACAAGTTGTATTATATGACAACTATTAGAAGAAGCACATTCTTCCTAAAATGAGGAACATTGAGCATCATGTGAAGTTATTCTTTGGCTATGGTTTGACAAAAAAAGGAAATATTTTAGCGCCACAAATTGGGCAGAAGGTCAAAGTGGACTCAGGTTGCTGATTGGTGGAGCTGGTCGGCCGTCATCTGATGATCGGAGCTCGACGCTTTCTTTCTGAAACGGGTTGTTTATTCTCATATTATTATGACTTTATTATCGTAATGTTACAACTTTATTCTCAAAATGAAAAAAAATAAAAATTTCTAGCTTGGCCCTAATAATCTATTTCCGGTGCGGAAATAGAAGCTGCCTAAGATCAGCGAAGAAGAATCTAAAGGAGTGTGTCAACAACCACCTGTTTGTGCTGCAGCATTAGAAAATGGCTTCAAGTTTAATCACTGCTGGAGTTGGGAAGAGAGCCTCATGTTTGACCCACTGCACCGGTGTTGCACTAAAGAAGGTTCTCTCAGGGAATTTGTTCCTCCTCTTAAATCAGAGCAGCACCTTCTGCAGGGAAAATGGCGCCTTTTTTATACTTTCCTCCTCTTACTTTACGTCTTAACAGATACACGCCTCGTTTCCTTCTAGGGCTGCAACTAACTTATTTTTCAAATCAATTAATTTGTCGATTATTTTTAGATTAATTAATCGGATAGCCAAAATTTCCTTAATGAGGACTTTTTACAAAATTCAACCCAGTGAAACCCAAACTACTCCACTGGAGGAGTTCTGGATAGAGCATATTGGCAGACAAAAAATATTTTTCTATCTTAAAAGCAAAACATTTACATATATTTTTTTTATTTTGGTAGAATTACTGCTCTAAGTGGGTTGCTCTGTCCGCTTAGGGCATGTTTTAGAGTCTCTACACTCGTTTACCATTGATCTAATACTAAATTAGTTGATTATTTTTTTAATGATCGATTAATCTGATTAATCGTTTCAGCCCTATTTCCTACCTGTTCAGAATAGAATGTAAAGCACTCCAACTTAGATCTGTCGAACTTTTGAACCATTTTAAGTGTAAGTTCATCATTCATTTATTTTAGTTAATTTGGAATCTGTTTCATATGATAAAACTAATGAACTGAAAGACGAGAGAACGAAATTGCATCAATTTTCTGTCCATAAAACTAAAAAATATCCACTTCCATGTCTGTTTGAGTGGAGCTGAGGATATAAACCTTCTGCTGTGATGCTTTTCCTCCTGCTTAAATACTTACTTTAGCAACGCAGACAGAACCTGAGTAATAAAATAATTAAATAGTCTTATATGACATATATGACATAAGTGCCTCCAGCATCAGACACAGAATATGTCTTAATTTTTTAACAAAAAGCTTTATGTGAAAATGTATCTCTGTGAAAAGAATATTCAGAAGATTTATATTAGACTTCATAGCATTGATACTAGCCAGCCCTGGTTGATCAGCTTATTTATAACATGTCAAATTTTATGATTCTTCTTAAAAGAAATCAGAATTGAGATTCGATAGGAACTGAAATTGGAACAAGGAAAAGGAATCGGAGCAGAATTGCTCCAGCTTAAACCCCCAACCCTAGTGAAGGAACCATCTTATAAAAACTAAGAGCTTTACCTTCTTGGCCATGGCCTCAGACTCCTCTGAATTTTCGGTGTTCTTCTCATACGCTTTACCAACACGGGCCACAAAGTCCTTCACGGTCTCGCACAGAACTCTGGGTCCAAACACAAACTTAGTCGATTACACAACAGCATCAGAGCTCAATGCAGCTATGGGATGTACAACAGAGAGACGGTCGTACTTGGCTGAGGAGATGACGACTGAATGCTGGTCTGAGGTCAGGATCTTTGTGAGGTGAGCAGCGACCGAGTCCTCATAGGTTAGAATCTGCTGGACCTGCATGAGAGGAAGAAACATTCGTACCGCCCTGTTCACACTGCCACTGTGGTAGAATGCAGTGGTCATAATTGTTAGTAGGAAAAGACATCACGGTACCTCAGAGTCATCACTGCAGTCCTCTGTGACAGTGGAGGCGGAGTGTTGCCGTGGAAACTTTGTCTCATAGACCATTATGCTCCATCTGAAGGGTCAGAAGGACACATGAGTTTTCCTGGTTTTGCCGGAACCAGAAAAGACGGCTGTCTGACGTCACACGCCTCACCTGTCCAGCATCTTGGTGCTAGCTCTCTCTAGTTTCTCCAGTATCTGAGGAAGCTGCGTGTCGTCGTCGCAGGCCGAGCCCCAGCCCAGAACCCGAGCCAGGTCGTTCCCGGTTCCAAGAGGAAGGACACCCAGCTGACACTGAAACACAGAGACCCCGTTTTAGATTCTGTGATGCTCAGGAAACACGCCGGGCCTCGTTAGGCAGCTTCTCTGATAACCTTACATTTGGTACCTGTTTGTGAAGCGTCAGGGCATCGATCTCAGAAAGAACCCACCCGACGCTGCCGTCTCCTCCACAAACCAGGATCCGGAACGTGTCAAACTTCTGGAAGAGTCGCAGGCTAACAAAAAAGCAGGTTTATAGTTTCAGCTCACATATTCTGTACGAAACATGCCTTCATTGTGTGCGTCTCACCCCAGGTGAGGTCCTCCGTTCATCAGGTCAAACACCTGCGCCGGGTTCAGCAGCTGTTTGAAACGGCGCAGGAACTTCACGCCCTGATTGTCTCCACTTTTCGAGTTTACAAAAACCAGCAGAGGACTGGTGCAGGACGGAGGACAGGACGCCTTCCAGAACCCTGGTTACACACACAGGTAGAGGAGGAATGGTTTCTTTATTTGCTTTTTGTTTTCCTATGCAGTGTCTATGTTTGACCACTTGAGGGCAGCAGGGCATTCCTCACCATCTGAATCGATGCTGTTGAGTGCTGTCGGAGGAATGACAGACACTTTGCACTGACCCAGAGGACACTTGGACGACAACTGCTCCTTGCAGCCTGAGTGAACCTGAAGACAAAGCACAGCTGAGACATTCATGCTTGTAGCGACAGTGGAGAGGAAAAACTCCCTTTTAACAGGATGAAACTGTAGCAGAACTAGACTCAGAGTGAGCAGCCATCTGCTGAGGCCGACTGGGGTTCAAGGAGACAGAGATGCATAAGACAAAAGCAAAGATCAGGTGTCTCATCAGCACACCTGATCAGGTGCATGTTTTAGTCTGTGTCTCACCATGGCTTTACACCACAGACACCTCCAGTCCTGCAGCCGGAGGACGCTGCCGCATGTCTTATCACAGACGCTACACTTAGCTGAGACGGGAAGATTCCCCTCCAGCCACTGATGAGGCATGGACACCTGGAGAGGACACAGGGTGAGGACAGGTGAGGCTGAAGCTAAATGTGACGGAAGTCTCAGGCGTAGGTCAGGTGTCTCACCCCGTCCTCATCCTCGATGATGTCCTTCCCGATAGAAGCCAGAGTTGTCCACTTACAGTTGTTGGTGGCTCGGACCGCGCAGCGCTTGTGAGCCTTAAACTTACACACTGCAGCAGAAAACAGAAATCAGAGAGAGGCCATTCTGATCAGCTGTGGAGTATTGGTGTGTGTTACCACACACGTTTTGCGTACCTTCACAGGACAGGCCGTGGGATGTGACTCCTGACAGAGCCTCTCTACACACGTTGCAGTACGTGGGTCTGGCGTGGGAGCAGGCGTACCAGTTGTGCATCCCGCTGAAGTGGTCCATGCTGTACTGCGTGGACTGGGAGACGGAGACACGGTGAGCTGAACAAACTAGGGCACAGCTGTTGTTTGCTGGTGGGTAAACAAGCCTGACCTCATAGTTCTGTCTGTTCTGGACGCTGCGCAGCGCTGCCATCCATTCCTCCATCTCCTTCCTGTTGTCAGCACACAGAATGAGGCGTCTGCAGGGGGTGATCACCTGGAGCACAGGTATGGGGTCAAAGGTCACTTAAGAGGAAGAAACCAACTGGTAAACGGTTGCTTTGGAGATGATGTCATTCTACATTCAGCTTACATCTGTCCTCTTTATCTTAACAAAACCTCATACATAAACCTCCATAAGGCTTCATTAAGTCATCTTGCAAAATACTTTACTAGCACCTAGTTTGTTGATCACCTGAAGCACACGTGGGGATCAAAGGTCATTTAAAAGTAAGAAAAACTGGAAAATGATTACCTCAGAAATGATGGTGAAAGAAGAAATGCTCCGACTGTGGTCAGATTCTTTATTCAGCTCATTTTTTGTCCTCATTACCTCATTAAGACTTTAACAAGACATCATTTAGACCTCAATTAGACATTAATACCCCAACAGGATCATTTAGAGCTCAAAAGCACAAAAGGACATTATTAAGACCCCAACAGGACAAAGCTTAGCACTAAAGATGATCACCAAAACCTCAACAACACATCAAGACCTTAATGAGACTTCAACAGATATTATTAAGACCTTAATAAAACCTTAATAAGCCAGCATTTAGACCTCAACAAGACGTCATTAAACATCATCAAGACCTTAAATGAGGCACTATTTATACCTCAATAAAGCATCAAGTCAACCTTTAAAAACACTTTGCTAGGACCTAGTTAGGTCCTTGTCAGGAGCTAATTTGTCTCTTATTATGATCATGTTAAAGGAGAAGTCCGGTCATATTCAGAATTCAAACTTCCGAAAGTACTTTAAATATGAAAGTATTACATACTGTTCAATAAATAAGTGTTTTTAATTAAGAGTAGTTTTCAATTGAATGTCCTTTACTGGAGGCATCCATGTTTGTCAAAGAACAATACTGCCATCTAAAGGTTTGTGACGTCACGGTACGGTATTGGCTGTTGATTAAGTCCCAGTGCTGTATCTGGTGTTTAACGCTATTATCCAAGTCATATTTAAAAAAAAAAATCTGCTTCCAAATGTTGGCTACATATTACATGTTTTTCTGTGGCCAGAAGTTCGATGGTAAATCCTTCCTCTTCAAGTTGGCAATCTAAACATGAACCCGTCCGTGGAGGATCAGGAATTGAAAAGGTGAAATTACTAATCTTTTTCACTTTTACCTGATGTATTTCAACATCAGACTGCCATGCACGTGGGCATTGTCAGTTTAACTGTAGCTCTGGTGAATTTCAATGATTAAAGCCTCTGGAAATCTTAAATAATTGTTGTTAATTGGAAATGTGTCTAGCAGTTCCTATTGATTTAGCTTGTAAAGCAGGGAGAATGGCTTACCACACCGTGACGTCACTACCGGAAGATGGCAGGGGTGAAGTGTTACTATATTTGGGCAAAACTAGCCGCTCCCAGACTCGCAACGAAAATTATTGTTCAAATTCTTTTTACTGATTAAAGCTAAATTCAATAAATCACTGTAAAAATATTAGTTTTAGGTATAGATAATGATCCATTGATTATTCCTTTCTTACCAGACTTTTCCTTTAAGGCCACATTATGCCTGGTGGTGAAATCCCGGCTGTTTTTGAGGATGATGTTTTACAAAACTACCTAGTCTGTCACAATACAATTTCCATTTGATTTGATGAATAGATTTGGCACGATCTTCCCCTCTAGGGCAATTATGTAATGATATGAACTCACACACAAACAGCTTCAATATAATTTGACCGGTTTAGTGCTAAACTCTTGCAGGTATTAAAAAGGGCCTTAATCTAATTACAAGAAAAACAGTAATAATAACATATCACCAGTTCAATATAGTTTCATGCACTGATTTAAAAACATGCATCTCCTAAAGATGTGGATTCATGTTTTCATTTGACAGTGATGTGAATGAAAAGGTCATCATTTAATCAATGCATCAATATCAATTGATTTATTGTTAAAAAGCTAATGACGACTTTAAGAGTCACATTAAGCATCTATACAACTACGATGGGTACTTGTTCAATTTATGACTGTTAAAGAGGTCACAGAATGATTCTATAGGGTGTTTGGTGCTGGTCCTTAAGGTCTCTGAATAGGTTGTGTAACATTGGTTGGACTGAAAATGGAATATTTGCTGTTCTATGAGCCCTAATGCAATCCTGGTTAAAAGCCCTAGAATGAAACAACAGGTTTTCTTCCTTTTATGGTATGATCATGAATATTTAGATGAGCTGTGCGCTGATTGGTTGGTTTACAACGGGTAAAGCTGCTGAGCAAAGACGCATCATAGCAACAAGCACTCACTCACTGAAAATTTAAATTGTTGATATGGTAGGGTGACCAGATGTCCTCTTTTTCTCGGACATGTCCTACTTTTCATACCTAAAAAAATGTCCGGGGGGGAATTTCAAAATCGTCCTGGATTTTGGTCGACTACAGCGCAGCAGAACCGAGCAGTGAGCTCCGGGGCTGGTCAGGGAACCCTGGCGGACAGGGAGCCAGCGGGGGACGGAGCGACCGAACCTGACCCGGTGGCTGTAGCCTGGACACAGGCACCCAGTCCCCCCCCTCCCGCCTGCCTTACCGGCCACCAGCCCTTTCCTCAGGCTGAGGAGGGGCGGCTCATGGCTCTCTGCTGAGGTCCGGTCCAGTCAGCAGCCCAGCAGTGGACACTTCATACCTGCCCCCCCAGGGTGTGACAAAAGTACAGACCAGAACCAAATAAGGCAACATCCCCAAATTGACGTCAATTCGGTGCTTTGTTTGGATTCGCCCATTTTATGCTGGAAGTTTAGAACTTTAAGATTTGCAGAGAAAGGAGGTGTTGATGGGGTTTGAACTTCTCTATACGTCAATTCCACCCACTGAACTATCGTTATTCATCTATGACAATGTAAACTCGGTTTTCCATTCTATGACCCCTTTAAACTCAACCAGAAATGGCCGTTCTGTTTTCCTGTCTCTGCGTCTTTCCTGAAAGCTGGAAACTAAAATTCTTGTTTTTTCCGGTTTTCAACAAACACCAACAGAAGCATCTACTTTATTACAACGTCAGAGGCCATTTGACAAACTCCATGCTGCCTTCAGGGACACTCTGACCTTCTGTAATCTGAAGATCAGAATTATCCACAGAGTCACGCTGCCTCCAAAGAAAATGTTTCCTGTCTCAGTTTTCTGGCCAGTTGTGGCTGTTTTCTTCTGGTTAGCGAGCTGGAGTGGAGGCCAACACGAGTGACGTAGACATCCACTTCCTGTCAGATGTTCAACAATGAAGCCTCTGTTCCCACAGAGACAGAAATAGCATCAGTAGAAAGGAGAATCTGCTCTTCCAGCTCACAGACCGTCATGCGTTTGTTTTATCCAGAAAGAAAATCTTTTCCCCTTTTGGATTTTCCTTAATCAGCTGTTTTTAAATCATTTTCTGGCTTCGGTTTAGTGATGTTCTGATTCATTTTTTAGGAATCTGTCCAATCGATCTCTGACATTAATGTGGCCTAATATCATTTCCAGATCTAAGGGTGAAATATTTTTCCTACCAACATTTCAGTTCCAAACATGGACAAACTGCTGTGGAATGCTCTAAGTCAAAGACGGGTCATGGCACCACAGGATTTTTCCACAATAGAGGTCCTTCATCACTTGAACCTATGACCCAGGTTAAAATAAGCACCGCTTATGTTACCTGATCCCTCCCTGGCTTCTCTTTGCTGGCAACATGGGCCCACGTCTTAACCACAAGCATGCTTAGAAAACTGGATTGATGGGACTTCTGCTTCTGGATTTTATACTCGATCGAATCCTCAGGCCTGATACGAAGCAACGCAATCAGATGTTTGCCTGTCACCTCGGCTTTGGATCGCTTTGACCAACGCTCGCTTCATCGCCAACTAATCCTTTTTTTGAACAAGTTTATAGAATTTAAAAATATACTTCATTGATCCCAATGGGAAATGAATTCCTGCTGTAACTCTCAGAGGGTTTCTTTTTAAACTATTTGTTGTTGATGTTAATAGCTGTTGGCAGGAAGGATCTCCTGTAGTGGTCTGCCTTGCCCAGGATGACGGGAAGCCTATGACTGAAGACAATGTTGTTGTTTGTCTTCTGAAGAGGATGCTCAGGGTTGCCCATCATGTTCTTCATACGAGTACGAGTGGACGTCCGAGGCGTCAAGTACCCCCGACTCTGTAGGAGCCTTTCTTTTGACCAACCATCAGCTTAATGAAGAACCCTAAAGAAACGCTGGTAAAGATTCTCAGCCATCCAGGTCATTGTGATTCCAAAAAAATAAAATTAAAACAAACCACTGGACGTAGTTTCCAAGCGTGAAGACGTTTCGCTTCCCATCCAAGAAGCTTTTTCAATTCTTGGCTGGGAAGCCAAACGTCTTCAAACTTGGAAGCTAAGTCCAGTGGATTGTTTTTAATTTTCTTTTTTTGGAACCCAAAAGAAAGACATTTGATTTCTTTGATCCATTTTTGCCAGGGGAGTGGCCCGATGTGGATGATGCTACACTGAGTTCTAATAATTGTTCTCATAGCCGGGCCACTGAAAACTGCTTTTACACCATAAAAAGCATCACTATGGATAAACGCAATGTAAAAGACATTATATAAGACTGTGGAAAATCCACTTCAATGGAGCTTTGTTGGTTCAGAATCGGGGAATCTTGGTTCTGTTTAAATGAATTGATAAAAACTGGAATATTTCTCAAATACATTCAAACTTATAGTTTCCTCTGTGATCCCTTCAGTACTGTGACTTCTAAAGTAGTGATGACTTTCTAGATTTTGTAATGACAGTCCATAAAGTCAAAGGAATGTGGTTCTTCACTGAAGTGTTATAACTTTTTGTTTCTGGGTCTGTGGATGTGTTTGATCCAGTAAAAAATGACATTTCATTTCTATTTGATAAAAAGAAAACTTCCTCCTCCCGGTTGTGTTGTTTAAAAACTTTACATTTTTCAACTATGTTTTTGTTGAGGCATTATCCAATAATGAACTCTGAATCCGACACAGGTTTAATAATTTAGGCTAATCTCA